TCTCCCTCCCTCCCTCCCTCCCTCCTTCCTTCCTTCCTTCCTTCCTTCCTTCCTTCCTCTCCTTCCTTTCTTCTCCCTCCCTCTCTCCTCCTTCCTTCCTTCCTTCCTCCCTTCGTTCCTTCCTTCTTTCTTCCCTCCCTCCCCACCAGGTCATCAAAGAGAAGCTGCGTCTGAAGCCGGCCGCGGGCACGGAGTCTCGGGCGAGGCCGGAGAGCAAGCTGGAGGGGCCGGTCCAGCAGCAGGAGGAGGACGAGAAGGCCCGGCTGCTGATCGGGCTGAGCGTGGGCGAGAAGAACCCGGGCAAGAAGTCCCTCTTCAGCCGGCGCAAGTGAGGCCGCTGGGCCCGCCCACCCAGGGAGCCCGGCCCCCGGGCGCTGGACTGAGACGGAGGGGCCCCGAGGGCCCCAGACGCGGAGGGGACCAGGCCTCCGGGAGCAGGAGGGGTGCCGGGCCGGCCCCCCTCGGAAGGCCCGGCTGCCCCCTGCCTCGCTCGGAGGGGAAGGGGGGAGAGTTTAAATAACAGAGTTTATCATTTGGAGCCCCCCGTCTCTTGTGGTGATTGCCGTCCTCACCCCCCCTCGCCCACCCACACCCACACCACACCACCTCCTGGGGTTGGCGCGCCCTCCTGCAGCTGTGGGGAGCCCTGGGGGGGCTTCTGGGCCGTTCAGCCAGATCCTCCCCCACACACACACACACGGCTGCTGCCACAGGGTGGAAGATTCTGCTGGGTGTCCCAAAATAGGCGCCTGCAGTCCAGGCAGTCTGGGACTTGCGACTGTTCGCTTAGTGACCGTTCAAAGTTACGAGGTCCCTGAAAAAAGTGACCTGTGACCCTTTCTCACACTTACGACCGTTGAAGCCTCCCCAGGGTCAGGTAATCAAAATGTGGACGCTTGGCAACTGGTTCCTAGTTACGAGTGTCCGGGGTGTGTGTGTGTGTGTATCACGTGATCCCTTTTTGTGACGTCCTGACGAGCAAAATCAAGCCAGGTTCACTTAGCGGCCATGTGGCTAATTTAACAACTGCAGCGATTCACTTAACAACTGGCAAGGAAGGTCGTAAAATGGGGCAAAACTCACTTAGCAAATGTTTCACAAGGATATAAATTTTGGACTCACTTGCGGTCGTAAATTGAGGACTGCCTGCATAAAAGCAAAGGAAGCCCCGCTGCCCGCTCTGCGGCCCCCCTCGGGGGTGATGGGGCCCCTCGACCAGGACCTCCGTCTTCTTCACTCGGCCTGCTGGGAGAACCGACGGACAAGCCCAGCTGTGCAGACGGGTCCTTGCGGGGGACCCCAAAGGCCTGGCTCAAGCGGGTTCACTTAATGGAGGCTGGGGTCTTCAGGGGCCCTCTCCCCCGCCCCCATGGCCCCCAGGGTTTGGGAGGGTTACTTTCCCCCTCCTCCTTTCTTCCTCCTCCTCCTCCCTCCCCTTCCCTCTTCCTCCTTCCTCTTTCTTCCTCCTCCTCCTCCTCCTTCTCTCTCTTCTACTCAACCTTCTAGCACTGATGACGTTCCCTAGTTGGGTCACGAAACATCTGCAAGGAAACTGCCCAGCTCAGAGAGCACCAAGGACCCCACAGTCCTCCTCCTCTTCCTCCTCCTCTTCCTCCTCCTCCTCCTCCCTTCTAGCACTGATGATGTTCCCTAGTTGGGTCGTGAAACGTCTGCAAGGAAAACCACCCAGCTCAGAGAGCACCAAGGGCCCCTCAGTCCTCCTCCTCCATTTCTACAACGCCCCCTTCTAGCACTGATGATGTTCCCTAGCTGGGTCATGAGGCGTCTGCAATGAACTCCCCCCACACACACACAGCTCCGAGAGCAGCGGGGACCCTCATTTCAACCCGGAGCTGCAAAGATTCTCCTTCATTGGCAGTTTCCCTCTTTGCAGAAAGGCCACCGGACGCTGCCTAGATGAGGTTTGTAACTTTCCAACTTCGCAACTCTCCAGTCAAGCCATCCAGATGTGGCACTGCAGGTCCCATCAGCCCCGGCCAAAGCCATTGTAGTCCAGGCGACCGGGAGGGGCGCTCCGAAAGAACAGAAGCGGCCGAGTCTGCGCCCGCGGGCGCCTGCTGCGATTGAGAGGTGGGGCGGGGGCGGTGTCTTGTGCAGGAGGGGGTGTGGCTTGGCTGCTGGCAGCCAATCCGGCGCGAGCCACGCCTCCCGGGTGGAGTTTCCCAGCGCGGGAAGGTCTTGAATGCCCAGTAGGGGCGGGGCCTCCCAGCCGACGGGGCGGGGCCGGCCCCTGGGTTTTGCATAAGGGGCGTGGCCCGGGGGCTGCCGGCGGGGGATTAGCCGCGCGGGGCTTTACGTAAGCGGGATTACCGCGGGGCCTCCTCTCCTCCGAGGGCGCCCACCGGCCGCAGCCGCCATGGGAGCCGCGGGCAGCAACCCCGGCGGGGAGCCGGCCGGCCGGGGCTTCCCCCAGAAGTTGCGGGTAAGGGCGTCCGAGCACGTGCAGAGCGCCGCCTGCCCCTCCAGATGGGGAGGGGGTCGCCGAGGAAGCCGTGGGGAGTGGCGTCCCGGGCGGGGCGGGGAGGGGAGGGGGAGCCCCGCAAGGGGGGGCTCCGTGCCCGGGCGCGCGGCCGGGGGGTCTCCGGAGGGCTCGCTCGCTCTTCCCCCCCGCCCGGATGAAGAGGGTGGGGGGCTTCCCTCTGCCAGAGGCGGCCCAGCTGGGAAGGGGCTCTGGGGGCGTTCAGGGGAAGGGGCGCCTGCCTAGCGCTGCGCCCCTCCTGGCTTTAATAATAATAATAATAGTAAAGTTGGAAGGGACCTTGAAGGTCATCTAGTCCAACCCCTACTCAGGCAGGAAACCCTAGACCATTTCAGACAAATGGCTGTCCAGTCTCTTCTTAAAGACTTCCAGTGTTGGCGCATTCACCGCTTCTGGAGGCAGGTTGTTCCACTAGTTAATTGTTCTAACCGTCAGTAAGTTTCTCCTTAATTTTAGGTTGTTTCTCTCCTTGATCAGTTTCCATCCGTTGCTTCTTGTCCTGCCTTCAGGCGCTTTGGAGAATAGCTTGACTCTCTCTTCTTTGGGGCAGCCCCTGAGATACTGGAAGGCTGCTATCCTGTCCCCCCTCGTCCTTCTCTTCATTCAACTAGACATACCCAATTCCAGCAACCGTTCCTTATATGCTTTAGCCTCCAGTCCCCTGATCATCTTTGCTGGAGCTTTCGGGGGGCTCTCCAGAAAGACCCTCGGGCGGGTGGGCTGCTTCAGTCCCGAGAGGGGCTCCCCTTACCCTGGGCGGCTGGGAAGAGGATGGGAACTGTAGTCCACCCGGCTTTGCCCAGAGCAAGCCGATTCGGGGCGCTCCGTCGCTCCTCCGATTTTGCGCTACCCCGAAAACCGGCTCTTGCGTTTGGATCCCGTGCAGCGAGCGGCCTCTGCGCCCCACCGGCTTGGGGTGCTTGGCTGCTTCTCCCTGGACCGGCCTGGACCCTCCCTGGTGGGCAGCTGGTCTTCCCTGCTTCCTTCCCAGGCTTCTCCCTCCCTTTCATCCTCACGACAGCCCTGCGAGGGAGGCCGTTTGGCAGTGGTTTGTGCCTGGCTGGGAAGGGAAAAGAGGGCATGAGATGACATTCATGGAACTATTTATGCTGCCCTCTCCTTCCGTGCCAGAAAAGGTGGCGCAGCGGGCAAAGGGGGGGGTTAAGGGAGGCCTGGACACCCCCCTCCCCGCCCTCTTTCGCCCCTTGGCTTTAGGGGCACTGATTGACCCGAGTCGGCTTGCAGCAGATCCTGCAGCGTTGAGGGAGGGAAAAAGGGAAGGACCCCCAAGTGTAAAAGTTGGGTGTGAGCCTCTCTCGCTTCCTTGGAGCCCCCTCCTCAATTGAGGCAGGGGTGACCCGCTTTTCCTACATGCTGCTCTCCCCAGCTCTGGAATGTCGGAGGCACAACTTGTGTAGGTGGGGAACACACTCGCACACCACTCCGTGAGGTGGACCCCTTCGCAGAAGGAGCGTACAATCCCCTGGAGATGACTAGAGGGGCCCCAAAGACCCCTCTGTTCACCCTTGAAGCTCTGCTGAAGCCCTTATTCTGTGCTGGCTGGGGAATTCTGGGAGTTAAAGTCCACGTGTTGGAGACCCTTGCCATACACAAACGCACAAAGAGAAGCACCGATCCCTCGTCACGCAATAAGAGGAGCTGGAGGGAGAGAACAGGCTGCTTCAGGCATTGGGGGTCCCGGTTGAGGATCCCCGACTGCTTCCCCCATCCAGTTCCTACCTACTTGTGCCTCCGTGATTCAGGCCATCAGGGCCGGGCCAGTGGGTCTTGTACTGGTGACACCCGCAGGTGGAACGGGGTTGGACTGGATGACCTCTAGGGACTTTTATGATTCCCTGCAACAAAGCCAGCCCACATCAAGCAGTGCTGGACGCACACAAGATGGACTCCAGAGAGGTATTCAAAATAAAAAAAGAGGAGTGGGCTTCTGATTGAGGTCCTTGCTCCCATTTGGAGCGCATTTTGTCCTCGACCAGTCTGATTTCAGATGCTCCTGGATCGTTCTGCCTTTTGTTGTTGTTGTTTATACAATTTATAGGCTGCACATCTTATTTCAAGGTAAATCTCGGCGTTTTACAATCATAAAAAAGTAAAACTCTATAAATTAAAAACATAACTTAATACAAAATCCAAAACGGGACGGCCAGTTAAAAGATGGACAGGGCAGGAGCAGGATTGGGGGGGGCTTTTTTTGGAGGTTTTTTCTGTCCTGTTCAGCCTTGTTGGGGGTCCCGCGTCAGGCAGAGTCCATCAGGCACCGCTGTCATTCCCCCCCCCTTGCAGGGCCACAGCACGGACGCCTTGCCCGACGCTTTGTGGGTGCGAAGCTGGAAACGCCTCCTCTCTCACCTGGGTGGGACCCTCTCGGGTCTGGAGCAGGCCTTGGCAGCCCGAAGCCCCCCGAAGCTGGAGCGGGCACAGGGGGACCAGAAGGCCCCGGATACGGGGGGTGCCGAGTGGCCCACGGCCCCCCACGCCTCGCTCTTCCTGCCCGAGTTTCCTGTCCAGCCTCCATTGCAGCAGCAGAAGCAACTCAAGGTGGGTGCCGGGCTGCTGCCTTAGGAGACGGGGAGGGGTCTTGTGGGGTGGGGGGCTACTCTGTGACCCCTTGCCCCCTCCTCTCTCTCTCTCTCTTGCCAGATTCTGGGCTTCCTGGCCAAGGGGACCTTTGGGACCGTCCTCAAAGTGCTGGACTGCTCTCAGGCGAAGGTCTTTGCGCTGAAGGTGAGCCTCCATCTCCCACTCCCCCACCCCCCATTACAGCTCCCAGGCCCCTCTCATCGCCCCCCGCCCGTGTGTCTCCCACAGGTGGTGCCCAAAGTGGAGGTGCTCCGCAGGGACAGCGTGAGGCAGTGCAAGGAGGAGGTCAGCATCCAGGTAAGGCTGAGTTTCCTTCCAAGGTGGGGGCCTTCTGGAGGGGGGGCTGGCTGCTGTTATTCCCCGGGGAGGGGCCACGGGGGGGCAGGTCACCTCAACCGGTGGTATCAAAGCTTCTGAGAGTCTCCAGCAGCCATGCTGGGCTGAGCGTTTCAACTATAATAGAAGAATGGGATTGGAAGGAAGGGACCTTGGAGGTCTTCTAGTCCAACCCCCTGCACAAGCAGGAGATCCTAGGCTATTCCGGATATACTGCCCTGTGACTCAGTGGGCAAGGTGGGGAATAGCATTCTCCCTTACCTGGCAGGGCTGTTGTAAGAGTCCATGGGAGTTTATTATTTATTATACCTTTATTACACGTGTATTATCCGTTTATTACACGTTTATCCCACCTTTATTATTTTAGAAGTAATTCAGGGTAGCAAAAATACCTAATATTCCTTCCTCCTTCTATTTTCCCCATCACAACAACCTGACGAGGTGGGCTGGACAGAGCAGGTCACCCGGCCGGCTTTCATGCCCAAGGCGGGACTAGAACTCACCGTCTCCTGGTGATTGGCCCAAAGTCACCCAGCCGGCTTCCATGCCTAAGGTGGGACTAGAACTCACCGTCGCCTGGTGATTGGCCCAAAGTCACCCAGCCATCTTTCTTGCCTAAGGCGGGACTAGAACTCGCCGTCTCCTGGAGATTGGTCCAAAGTCACCCAACTGGCTGTCATGCCTAAGGCAGCACTAGAAATTACCTTGAAATCAATCACTAATCAATAATGCTTTATTATTGGATAGCTTTTATCTTTATTGGCTGTATTTATTAAACTTACATTGCCTCGACGTCACTCTGAAAAGCGACTCCGTCAGGTGGTGACAAAGGCAGCAGGTGCCGCGTGTGGGAACGCCAGGAACTATAACTCCCGTTTCCCATCTTTTATTGAAATTCGCCCAGCAGGCTGCAAGGAGTCGCTTAGAACAGAGGGAACCACTTTAAAAACAAATGCTGGACTTTATGAACCGCCAAAGGCCAGGCAGGACCTTGCCGGTTACTCTTGGAGGCGCTGGTTCTAAAGGCAGTGCCCCATGGACTCTGCCCCTGCCCCAGTGATGCACAGCTTGAAGGGGGGGGTTTGTGGGGGCTGCTTAAATGCAACTGGGTTTAAAAAAAAGCACCGTGAATTTTAAACTGGTCCCTGTTGCAGATGTTAAATCCAGTGGTTACTAAAAGGTCTTTCTCCTTTCTTTTTGGAAATGGGGTGGGTGTCCAACTTTAGCAACTTGAAGTCCACCGGTCTTCAAGTTGCTAAGTTTGGAATCCCCGATCTACAGTAGCTGGCTGGCGAATTCTGGGAACTGAACTCTTTAAAAGTTGCCAAGCTTGGACACCCCTATTTTTTACACAGTACACAGCTGGGGGGTGGGGGAAGGAAAGGAAGCCCGTCTCCCACCCCGGAAACTCCCACTCCTGGAATTGTCCTAGATTTTTACCGAGCGACACCAGGGGTCTTGAAGCCACGTAACCGTGGCTTTTATTATTTGCCTGGGAGGTTCTGCTTTTTTCTCTTCCTTGTTTTTTTTGGGGTGTGTGTGTTTCTTTTTAAGTTCCCTAGCCTGATTCTACACGCCCCCACTCCCCAGATAGTGAACCCCCAAGCTGGCTTGTTCTGACCCCCCCCCCCATTTCTCTTCCTCCCCAGAGGCAGGTGCGCCACCCGTTCCTCCACTGTTTAGGGGACAGCTGGCAAGGAAAAAATCACCTCTTCATTAGTGAGTGAGCATCTGCCCGGTGGGCTTACGTAGCTTAGAGACCCCCCCTTCCTCTCCTCCTGTGTGCCCCCCCCTTTCCACAGCTTGCTCCAATCCCCTCTCCCCGGAGGGGATAATAACGGATTTCCTGACTTCTGCAGCCATAAATCTCCCCCTGTTTGGCCAATCCCAGGCTGTCTCCAGTCTGCGGATTGTCCTTCAGCCTTTGCAATGTTGTGTGTGTGTGTGTGTGTGTTTGTGTGTTGGTGGGGCAATGGGAGGGGGGGAGAAGCAGGATTAGTTGCCAGGGCTCTTGAGTGATTGATGGGTCTCTTTTCTCCTCTCCTCTCCCTATCCCTTCCAGTGTGCAGCTATTGCAGTTCCGGGGATCTGTTCACGCTCTGGAAGTCGTCCGGACCCCTGGCCGAAGGCCCCATCCGGCTGTTTGCCACGGAGCTGGTGCTGGTGTTGGGTGAGTGGGGAGCTGCACCGGGCGCTGCATTGCCAAGAACCACCCCCCCCCGAGATTATCTCTCGGGCCTGCCAGAGACCTCAGCCCTGTGTCTTTATTTTTATGTTGGTTATCTACACGGCAGCACAAACCTTTTATTGTAATTAAGTGCCCCCCCCCCCCCCCGACGGCAGTAAAAAAGGGCAGCCACACTTAATGCGAGTGTAAATTAATTGCAAGAGAATCGGAATCAGAATAGAGCTGGAAGGGACCTTGGAGGTCTTCTAGTCCAGCCCCCTGTTCAAACAGAAGACCCTATCTTGTGGAAAACGAAAGAACTCTTACGAATTCCAAAGGGGTTTAGCAGAGAGGTTTATTTGCGCAGGTTCAGAAGCATAATGGAGACAGGCAATTCTGAAGAAGGAGGGCGGGATTAGACTTCAGTTTTATACTTTCCTTCTTTCAGGAACAAAGGGACTCCACATGGTAATACACTGTAATACATTAGGATGGTTTCTCACGGGCATACAATGGTAGTTTTGCTACATACAAAGTATCCATGTGCAATGCGCATTTGGTTAGTCACATATTACTGACACAGAACTTTCCCAGTGAATTTTCCCAGTGATTATGCATTACATCATTATTCTAGCAATTATGCAGACAAATCATTATTCTAGTTATTGTTCATTTTACTACATTACCTATGCCATTTCAGACAAGTGGCTGTCCAATCTTTTCATAAAAATCTCCAGTGATGAGAGGCCCACAACTTCTGGAGGCAAGTTGTTCCACTGGTTAATTGTCCTCACTGTTAGGAAGTTTCTCCTTACTTCCAAGTTGCTTCTCTCCTTGATTTGTTTCCATCCATTTTTTTTCTTGTCCTGCCTTCAGGCTTTTTTTGAGAATAATTTGACTCGCTCTTCTTTGTGGCAGCCCCTCAAATACTGGAACACTCCTGTCCTCTCCTCCTCCTCCTCCTCCTCCTCCTCCTCCTCCTCCCTCCTTCCTTCTTCCTCCTCCTCCTCCTCTCTGCCACCCCCCCTTCTAGCACTGAAGACACTACCTAGTAGGGCCACGAAGCGCCTGCAAGAAAAACCACCCAGCTGAGAGACCACCAAGTTCAACCCTGAGTTACAAATATTCTCCATTATTGATGCTCTTTTCTTTTGCAGCCTATCTTCACAACCAGGGTATCGTGCACCGGGACATCAAGGTATGGGACCCTGGCCTCATTTCCCTGACTGGGGGTCCAGGGAGTGGGCAGTGCGAGCTGATTCTCAAATGTCTGCCAACAGTTGCCCTCCATGCTGGAAGCCCCTTAGCCAAGCCAGCCCCCCACTCCCCGGCTGCCTTTCCTTAACTCTTGGACTCTTTATTATTATTATTATTATTTTTGCTTTCTTTGCAGATGGAAAACATCCTCTTAGATGAACAAGGTAATAAGGGGGAAGAGAAGGAGGGGAGGGGTCTTCCTCACTCTCCGCACCAGCCCCCCATTCGGGGCCGCAGAAAAGGGTTGCTGGAGAGCTGACTCGGCTGCGGGGATGGGCAGTAAGTGGAACGCCCGCCAGGCAGCCGGGAAGGCTGCGGGAGGCACGTGGCTGGTCCCCCGTGAGGCTGAGATGCTCCAGTCTTCGATTTTACAAATTTTATTAATTTTTCAAATAAACATATGGACAAATAATACAAATATGGTGCATTTCATTAGAAAAACAAACACATAAAAAAGCCTACTCAGTAAGTATTCAGAAATAACCAGCGGTCCCCCCCCCCTGCATCCCCACTCCCTCAACCTTCCTACCTACTTCCCTCTTCCTTCCTCCCCCTCTTAACCACAACCTCTCCTCTTTCCTCCTTCCCTACTATCCTACACATCCCATCACCTTCTTTTCCACCACCTCGGATGCAGTTTAGGGGTACTAGCCGATCATTTCCTCTTCTTAAAGACAAACATTTAAATTATATTTATATTTATAAATTATATTTATAAATACACCAAATTTTATATAATTCTACCCCTTCATCCCCTTCCCCCCCCCCCCGAACTTCCCAGAACTGAGTACAGGGATAAATACATAACATCCCAAGTCTAAATTAAGCTATCCATTCATAATACAACAAAATTAACATACTTTAACTCTAACATACAATAATAAACTAATAATAATAATAATAATAATAATAATAATAATAATAATAATAATAATAATAATAATAATAATAATAATAA